ACAACACCTTTTTTCAGATATCAGCACGAAACCGCTACTCGGGGAGTTTTCACCATTGTTTGCAGCTGAGTTGAGCTCGCTTCTCAAGGGACGAGACAACCAAAGAAGAGAAGGGAACAATCCCCTTTATTGCAAGGCTTGTCCACTGCCCGGTATCTCTCGGCTCACTAACGTTTGAGGATGAGACTGACCTTGTAGGAATGATGTTTTTCAATGACATCATCGAATTTCTTGTAGATTCCATTCAGCATATTGACCACTTCCAACGGTGTGGACGATGAACATATAGTGGTGAAGCCAACAATATCACTGCAAAAAAAACACTTAGTGAAGCTTTAAAACTTCCTCCTCAGATTCATCGTGATTCTTCGCTTTATACAAAAATATTACACCAGAAAAAGAAGCATCCGATTAATACCTGAACATCACGGTGGCCGAGTGGAACATTTTCGGAGGTACTGGTCGACCAAGTTTCAGCTCGTTTGCTACGTATCTGAAATAGCAGGTGTTATTCCTTATGCAGGATTAACATCGTAAACATAGAAAGTCCTAGCTGCAATGTTCCGCCGCCTAATTCTAGAGTACCACAAGGCTTTAACGAAGGCACATTCTACAATCAGGCCAATTAGAACAACCCATTCCACGAATAGAATCAATGGGCCCACATCCGCAAAGCTAGGGCCACGTTCTGGACTCAAGACGCGTAGCAGGGGCGCTAGCGGAGAGGACTGCACCGATGTGTGCTCCTTGCATCAGTCTCCGCCCACTGTCAAAGGAGATGAGCTTCGTTGATTTCGAGCTTTCGAGATTGGTATTGAATTTGTTCGGCTAACGTTTCTGCCCAATCTCCTTCTTCGGAGCCTACAAATCTGTGTCAATTTTGGAAACATTCATACAGGACCTTTCAGGCAACCATCATCATCTGCAAGTAACCAGCCGAACATCTTACCTGAGTCTTTTCTTTAGTTTCTCTTGTGAGTACTAATGTAAAAGGGGGAGTTCGGGGGATGTATTAGCTAGTAGTCGAGAAATGCTTGCGGTTCGATAGCAGGGATCTCCTAAACAGGGTCAACCGTTGGACGTGAAGTAACAGTTAGAAAGGAGCGGTGGGGGGGTGCAATTGTGGGCTTTGGGAGGGAGAAGGGGGTCGCATTGTCGCGGATAATCGGTCATTGCATGTAGGGGAGAGGGTGTGAGTAGGAAAAATAAAGTTGACGGTTTCATGTGGTGTGTAGCATAGTAGCGCAGGCCCTGAACCCGGCGCCGCTCGACGTAATTATTCTTTGGGGAAAAGTAAGGCGAGGTTTTGGGTAGTATTAGAGGTGAGACGGTGATGGGCGTGTCGGATGGGGTCTCGATGGAAGTTGCAATAATTATAGAAAGGAGGGGAGAGGGGATATAGGGTATTATTTGTGGGGGGGGGGGAGGGGAGAAGTGGGAGCTATAAGAGGAGAAATGCTGTAATGTGATTGAGGGGGTAGGAATTTGTTTGGGGGGGTGGCAACTTGGAGCCCCTCGCATGAGGGGGGGCGCAAGAAATCATGAAAATGTTTCGAACGTGACGGGTTTGACCACTGTCCCAAAGAAGGAGATTGTGCCTCAACGTCAGTCGAATAAAGTTAATATCAATTTCGAATTATCAACCAGGAACAACGAGACAATTTTATAATCATGCCGAGTTTGATGGAGCGTTGTTCGTGGTCTGAGTTCGCTTTCTGCTGTAACGTGTTACTATCTCCTAGTGAGCCTGGCGTTCAATCCGTCGGCGGAAGTATGCCGTCTTATGATGTTAGAAAGCTGTAGTGTGCTTTATGATTTAGATAAGAATATGAGTTAAGGACAAAGAAGCAGGGAGGGAATTAGTCATATATCAGTGCATTGAAATAGAGATGAGGGTTCGACAATAGAACAATTCAGGGAGGAGAACATGGGCTACGTTCAATAACTCCACTTGGCTGGTTATGGCTCAGTGTTCTCGTACAATTCTTCTTCCTTACATCCCCCCCTTCATGGTAAAACGCTGCAACCACATCTCACTGATTGTGAAGTGCGCCTGTAACGCAAAGTCACTGCTCTAACAATCAACAATTCTTTGCTATCACGAGGCAGGGTCTGTCCTATCGTTGTTACTTTTCGAAAAATTTTTACGACCCCCCTCCCCCAACGTGGATTTGATACGACCCCCTTTTCCCTACCTCCACCATCTCCATCTTCCATCAAAACCCCGCCCACGCCCGCTGAAACGGCAAATTTTTATCCTGCGCGCCCTCCACTCGCCCAGCCTACTACCCACGAAATCTTAGTTTCACCTCAATCCCACACGTGATTTCGAGCGACTAAAGTGGGTACGACCCCCCCCCCTACAAACTCAACCAGGTACGACCCCCCGTTGTTACTCGTAACAACGTAGGGTTGACCCTGTCACGAGGTCGCTGGCCGATAAACACGTCAGAAAAAAGCAGAAGCCTTACTCTGGAAGGAGTTGAGAAAGAAGTTTGTCGGCTCGTGCATTCGCGTCTTCCAACATACCAGTACGTTCTTTGACGAGCTTCTCCAAGTTGTTGGCGTACTAAAAAGTGTTTGCACTTCTACGCTGAATAATCGATCTGTCTGACTCTTTTTGGAACTAAGTACTGTAACTATGCTAAAATGAGTTCAGGCATACCTGCTCCATCGTGCTCATCATTTGGTCGACAAGTGATCCTTTCCTGCAAATGAACCGTTGGTATGCGATAAGACGACAACGGAAACATCCAAACATAGGGGAGTTGGTCATGTTAACGTAGCACGACCATTTTTGAAATCTTACGGAGGTTACAATCATGAACACGACGTGACTAGTGATGGTAGATTTGTTTGACGGTCCTAAAGCGAGAAATCCCCCCCTCTCGGATGTTCCTGTCCGACTGGCATTCGATTGGGTTCCTGGACGAATACGTCCCTTCGGGTCAACTTGTTGTATGAATTGCGTTCTCGACATGGGAATTTTCGCAAAATTCCAAGATGGGCTTATTCACTCGCTTCAAGCGGAAAATATCTTGAGACCTCACCATACGTCTATAAATATACGACACATCTCTACAATATATAAGTTCTTGGCTACTTCCTGTGAGGTAGCCTGCAGGCAGCTGCTTTTCTTCCTTTGTTT